AGAGAAGGAAAGATAAAACACAAAACAAAATTATGAAGCATCTGATTAGGAGCAGAGGGAGGGCAGGAGAGTAGAAGACGGAAACAGAAGGAGTAACAAGAAATGTAGGAGTTGATATTAATAAACAGATTGTTGAAGAATAATTCAATATAAGGAAAATGTGACAAAACAGATAATGTTAGAATGCAAATGCATTAACTGAATTATAGTAGATTTGTTTTATTTTTCTGCAAGCTGTTGATGAAGATAAAACAAAAAAACCTTGGTGCTACATGCCATTTTGCTAACTTTCTAGTTCTCCTGGCAGATAGAATACCTAGCATTTGTTTAATGAAGGTGAAAATGTAATGAGAATCACTGAAATATTTACCTGCGGTATTGGATTATGGGTTTAAAATTACTTTTCAAAATTGTCCTCATAGCATTTCTGAGTGTTTTTGTTGCTTTTCCTGTATTTCTTGAATTTCTTTCATATTTTACAGATATTTATTCCAAATATGTACTTTCAGTCAAATGTACAGGCCATTATAGTTTTTTCTGTAGCAAATAAACAGCAGATTTAGTATTTCACATTTTTTAATTTTGGTTGTTTTTCAGAACTGCTTGTTTTCTTAGGTCTCTTGTAATTGACATGCTGACAGAAATGACACAATGCACTCCCTTGTAGTAATTTCTTGTGTTAAATCACACACTGTAAGGACGTTTGGAGTTAAATGTATATTTTTAACTAGTTAAATTGGAATTGCAAATATTTTCATTATATTAATAACAAAATATAATTTATTAATGCATGTGCATAGGTGACCAATGAGTATCTTTCAGAGTCACTGTACGTATGGCTGCCATCACTGTTGTTTGTCCTGTGAGTTTTTGTTTTGAAGCCAGCCAAATTAGGCAACAAATAGTGTGCTTTTGGTTTTTTGATTCAGCAAATAGATAGTATTTTTTTCATAGTCAGGTATATTAGTTATTTCAAAGGATGATATTAAAAAAGGGAATGGAATGGAGTGACATCCAGTTCAGCTTTCACATTAATGGGAAGAGGAAAAATAAGAGAAACTTAATAAATATTTTTTCAGAGATATTTGAACAATTGTTTCACATGCACTATTACACTTTGAATGATGAGGCTTTTTATGGTGTATTATTATTTGTTATTTAGGCAAGCCCTGAGGAGAATCAAGAAGGAAATTTTGGTTCAGAGCACTCTGCATCACCATCACAAGGGAGTAGTCAACAGCAGTTTTTAGAAGTAGAAACAAATGTAGATGATTCAATGGATATTCAACAACAGGTAAAACTATTCAAAATTTTCATTACAGAAATTGAAAGGATAACGCATACTAAAATGATTTCAAAATGAGTAATATGGATGTATGCTTTCATATAGTCATATGTATTGTGAGTATATTTATTAAATGTTACTGAACATCTGTTATGTCTGACCTCAGGACATGGATATAGATGAAGGACAGGATGTTGCTGAAGAAGAGATTTTTGAACAAGAAGAAAAGAAAGCAGCTGTTCATTCAAGATCAAGAACTCGTTCAAGATCTCGTTCAAGGTTTCATAATTAACTTGTATTACATAAATTAAGGTTTTCTAAAACAAAGTTGCAATATGTGCTTATCATTCTCAATTCTGTATTTTCCAAAATTGTCATGAGCAGTTTTTGACAATGAAAAAAAGTGTTCATTTAATATTTGTGTGTTAGATACAGACTTTCTGTATGAAAGTTCGTTTTGTGTGTCTGTGGTTTACTTTAAATTTGTAAAGACCTGTTCAGGTAACAATAATAACTAACGCTAACGAGCTGGACAGATTTTCTATGCCAGAAAAATAGATACTGTTATGGAACAGTTTGAATGTGTTTTATTTTAAGTTCAAGGTGTGTTTTCTGTTCTGCACGGTAATGACATTAAATTTATTTCCTGAAGCAGTTTGAGTGATTATAGTGGAAATGTCTTTACCATACTGATATTAAATATTTTGTAGGTCACCAAGAAAACGAAGGTCTAGATCACGATCTGGTTCTCGTAAGCGTAAACACAGAAAACGTTCACGCTCAAGATCAAGAGAAAGGAAGAGAAAGTCATCTCGGTCATATTCCAGTGAAAGAAGGGCTAGGGAGAGGGAAAAAGAACGTCAGAAAAAGGGATTGCCTCCTATACGGTCAAAAACACTAAGTGGTAAGTGGCAACTGCTTACTCTTTTAATAATGTAGTATTAAAGGGAAAAAAGGCTTTGGTTTTCATTGAAAGAACAAGATTTAGCTTGAGTACTGTTACAAAATACAGTAACCATATTCTTTTTTAGAAGTTTCATTTCTGATGTTTCTTATAACTTAGATACATCATTTCATCTTAAAGGAAAGCAAGTATCATACTGTTCTACTGATTATTTTACTCATACTGTTGCACCAATGATTTTACTTCTGAACAGAGAGTAGCAAGGGCTGTCCCTAAGTTACAATCTGCTTTCTCTTTAATACCATCTTGTATGGGGCATTTGAAGATCATCAGTGCTTGATCTGAAAATTGGGACGCTGATAAGACATTTGAGTATGTGGTACACACTTTGAACACTTTGCTGAGTATCTTAGAGGCCAGTTTTGTTAAACCTTTAGAGTGCTTTTTAAATAGCTTTTCACAGGAATATAGAGACAAAGCAAATGGAAATGTGAAACATATTTTGCTATTATAAGGTAGACCGTAATGGTCGTATCTTAGCAAAGTATCCAAAACCAACTAGATTTCAGCTTCTGCAGAGTGCTGCTGTGCACTGTTGTCGTTTCTACAAAGAATTTACACACTGAAAAGAAGGAAGGTTCGTAGGGAGAAGGATGAGAACTTTGTCAACACCGCTGCTTAAATCAAAGGGAATGTATTTTCAGATAAGCTCTAGAAACAGTGAAATTGGGTGTAATCATCTGCTTCTGTATCAGTATATCCCATTGCTGCTGTTAGTAGGACTCGGGATTCTTGGGATACACAATTATAACTAGTTTATTTTTTGTCGTGAACTTGTGTTCCTGAATTTAACTTTATTTAGATAACGTATACACATTTTCTGATGTAGGTTTGCATTTTTTTTGTGTCTTAAAACTGTATCATTTATCTGACAAGATGAGCAGTTCAAAATCTGTTTTTGCAAAGGAGTGTTCTGTTTTCTCCACATGAATATTTTATATCATTCCAAGATGGCTTTAAACTCAGGACTTCACTACAGTTAGACATACATTTTTTTCTCCTCTGGCTTTTCACATGAAAATAGGCAAATCAGTTGTATGATGTAGATTTCTCCCAGTAGCCCACAAAGAAGGGAGCTATATTCAGAATGGATGGAAGCTGGGACGCAGGGATGTTAAGTAACCTGATTAACAGCAGCAGCAATTCAGGTCCTGTAAAGTGACCCAACTCATGGAAAGGAGATATTAAGAAGGCTAAGTGGAGTGTGGAAACTTTTTGGGGGTGAATAAATAAATAAATAGGTAATTCACCTGACAAGTGTTTTAATTCATGAAATTTGTTCAGTGACAGTCACTGTTACCACTTACTGAGATCTGAAGAATTGTTTCATAGAGCTTAACACCATGAGAAACAAAAGGGTCATATACAAGCATGCCAGGAATCAATTTTGTCCAAGAGAAATCTTTAGACTAGTCATTCCCAGTACTGCTGACTACTGCTGTCAGTTGAAAATGTCAGTTGACAGAGGAATGCGCAGCACTGGTTTCCAGCTTGGTGCATCAAGATTGGTACAGGAAGGATGCGTTGATGTGTTGAGATGATGAAGAAAAATGTGTCCTTGGTTCAGGATAGGGCAGGCCCAAGAGATGCTGGTTGTCTGGCTTTGTTCTACCTTAGATTCTTTAATAGCCTCAGTGGATTACTCAGGGTAGTAAGATACTTGAGGAAAACCACAAATACTGACCTAATCTCTTGCTGATTTAGATCACCCTGTGTTAAGTGGAAGCGATTGCTTGGAGTTTGTCAAGGCTTGTGCACATATATTGGCTAATATTTGGGAGGCAAAAGAATGTTAACCATGTTCCTATTGGAAGAGGAAGTTTTAGCTCACATGTCAGTGAGTGCTCGAATTGGCAAGGGGGACGGGGCGGCTAGGCATTTGGGAGATGAATTGCAGGGATCTGGGCTCGTGGTGGAATTGACGAGATTCGGAAGTATCATGGATATCTTCAGCTCAGTGGTGGGCCTCAGCCAAGTCTGTCTTTCTGGGACGTTCCCCAAGGTAAAGTAAAAGTATAGTTTTCATTTTTTTCAGGTGAAAATGCGGTGCATAATAATACACTTCTAGCCAGTTAGGCTTTCTTTGTTAAAACTGACTTTAAATCCTAGAGGCATGTTTTTTATGGAATGTGGAATAGAAATGAGATCCACCCCCTCCCCTTAATTACTGCAGTTTACCTTAGCTAATAATCTACAGAATTTTATTTTGTCATTTCTTTTAAATCTACTACTTTGCTTAAAAGAAAATGAAACAAGAATGAACACTTCTACTGAATATCTCTTTGGTGTCCTTTAACCCTTTAACATTTTTGTTAATGTACTTAAATCTCTATATAGTAATAGATTTACTATTTTTGCTCTTTGATCAGTGATTTCGGTGTAATTATAAAGCCTTTTATATCCATGCTATAGAGTATTTCATAAGCTGACATTCTAGTATTTTGATTGACATGAATATGTCTCTTGACAGTTTGCAGTACTACTCTTTGGGTAGGCCAAGTAGACAAGAAGGCTACACAGCAAGATTTAACTAACTTGTTTGAAGAATTTGGACAAATAGAGTCAATTAATGTAAGTAAGCATGTTACACATTTTCAGGGATTACAGACTAGCAATTTAAACATGCTTTTGCTTCTGAATTTCTTTTAGCAGCTTAAGCTTGTATTTAGGAGACTGTTTTTTATCACTGTTTAAAAACTGGTTATGGTGTTTGCTTGTTTGGTCTCCACGTACTGTCTTTTGAAGCACTAAAGACAGTACACTTCATGGTAAAATGGCTTTGCCCGAGCACTAGCAATTTACACAGCTTTCTAAACCAGGGTCTCATGTCTTTACTCTTTTTATGATGTGGCACAGGGCACGTATCATTTTTTCTTGGACTAATGGGCACAAACTGATATCCATCCACATTGTTCTTGGTTACGTTCCATACAGAGGGTTCCTTAAGTGGAAGCAATGTGCATAAAACATTTAGAAGAAAGGAAATTGTACTGTAAACAATTGTTTATTCTAAAATGTTACAATTAAAAAAATGCTTATAATTAGGAGATAGATTTCTCATGATTTAGAGTAATTTAGATTTAGATGTTTAGAGTCATACTTTGGTGTTGCCTGTAATTCAGCTTCAGGAGAAAGTGTTTTTCTCCTAAAATAACGCATCTACATGAGAGAAATTTGGATTTTTGTCACTTGCTACAGCAGTTTTAAAGTGCTTCTCATGCAGTTTCATTTCCGATAATATTTTTACTATTTTTTCTGTCAAATTAATATATTCAAATATGTAATTAATAAGGAGTAGTTTTTGTGGCATTACAGAATCTTTCACAAGTGAAAAAAAACCCATAGCCTGACATTTAAGTGTCATTTTGATTCGCAGGGACTAGTAATTAAGAAGGTTCAAAGGAAAGTAGTGTAACAACCATAATGTCCCAGTGCCTGTTACTTTTCAGAGGCAAATCATACTGTAAATAGTTCATCCTACATGTTCCATAAAGTTTTAAGTACATAGGAAAACGTTGTGTGTCTTAAATATATTTTTATAAGATCTGTATTAAAATCTATCATCTTAAATATTTTTTGTTCGTTATTGTGGCGGGTTGCCCCTGGCTGGATGCCAGGTGCCCACCAGTGCCCCTCTGTCACTCCCCTCCTCAGCTGGACAGGGGAGAGGAAATGTGACGGAAAAGTTCGTGGGTTGAGGTAAGGGTAGGGAGAGATCAATCACCAATAACAGTCACGGGCAAAACAGACTCGACTTGGGGAAATTAGTTTAATTTATCACCAATCAAATTGGAGTAGAATAGTGAGAAATCAAACCAAATCTGAAAAACACTTTCTTCTCCTCAAACCTGTTCCGGCATGGGGTCTTCCATGGGCTGCAGGTGGAGATCTGCTCTACTGTTGGACCTCCATGGGCTGCAGGGGGACAGCCTGCCTCACCATGGTCTTCACGGGCTGCAGGGGAAAAAAATCTCTGCTCCAGCCCCTGGAGCACCTCCTCCCCCTCCTTCTTCGCTGTCCTTGGTGTCTGGAGAGTTGTTTCTCTCACATCTTCTCATTCATCTCTCCCTCTTCAATTGCTGTTACGCAGGATTTTTCCCCCTTCTGAAATACGTTATCCCAGAGGGGGCTCCCACCATCACTGATGGGCTCGGCCTTGGCCAGCAGCAGGTCTGCCTTGGAGCCGGCTGGCGCTGGCTCTGTCGGACATAGGGGAAGCTTCAGGCAGCTTCTCACAGAAGCCACCCCTGTAAGCCCTCCTGCTACCAAAACCTTGCCATGCAAAACCAATACAGTTCTGTTACTGTGTGCTTCTAAATAATGTAATAGCACACCTACAGTTTTGACTAAAACTAAAATAAGCAGTTGTCATGCATGATTTGCAAACTTTCAAAGATTACATGCCACATCATACTTTTCTTTCCTAAATAAAACTTTGAAGCTAGTGGAAATCACACTTCAGGAATGAGGACTCTGCCATTCAAAAATGCAGATACGTCTAATAACAAGTTTGTGCCTCTGTGAAAGGTTGTTGCTCAGCTCGCAGTCAGTTTGGAGCTTAAGAAGAGGTAGCAACCTCTGCTTTTCTGAAGTTGTTATGGTATAGCTCCCAGTTCTTGCTTGCTCCATGTTGTTCAAATCTTTCATGTCACTTTTAGCACCCGTTGTTCGGTTTACTGCTGCTTCTTGAAACTGTTATAACTGAAGTACCCTGCCGATATCACTCTTTAAGTTTTGCTGATGCTCAAAATTGTTAATTTTGGTGATTAAAGTAGCGATTGTTTATAGTGTAAGCTTTTCCTTTTTTTGGTATTAGTGTTCGCTTAGTGTAGTTACATAACATGAAGTAATGTTTTTTCTGCTTTTGAAGACCACTGCTTTTTTTCCATAGATGATTCCTCCAAGAGGCTGTGCTTATGTCTGTATGGTTCATAGACAAGATGCGTATCGTGCTCTTCAGAAACTTAGTTCTGGGTCCTATAAAATTGGATCTAAAATTATTAAGGTAAGTTGATTTTAATCTAAGGATGCTGTCCATTTCAAATACAGTACAGAGTTAATATGATTTGTCATTTAGCAGCTGTTCATTCGAATGTGCAATATGGAGAAGGATAGTAAAGCAATAAAGTGTAAATGGTTTTCTTTCCTCTCTGTGTAAAATGCAGCTTTGAACAGGCAACGTGAAAGACAGTAAAGCAAAATTGTGATTTGATACTTAGGAAATACATGGAGAACATTTTATATGTGTGCTAATGATGAGAGTGCAAGACTGTAAACAACCTAAGTTCTGTACCTGACCATGTGAATCTCTTAATAAGTTTGATAGTAGTCTTACAGAGTTAAGTATATGACTAAATGCTGTATAGGCTCTACTTTCTTTGATGCTTTAGGATAAGTCCTTGAAATGTGGTATTTTTAGTTTCCCTATATATATATTGGAATTAATGTAGAACAATTTTAAGTTTTTTGATCTTCCACATACCTGTTGCAGAGGCCAGGTAAACTTCCAGAGGTTCTCTTAAAATTAAAAACTTGTTAAAACTTTCATAAATAGACACTGAACATTGATCTGCAGTGGCAGAAATATGAAGGAAATGATCTGAAATACTCTATTCACAGGTTACAGGATTTAAACAGATTATCTGGTTGTGTTTTATTTTCAGATTGCCTGGGCTTTGAATAAAGGTGTAAAAACAGAATACAAGCAATTCTGGGATGTGGATCTGGGAGTTTCATACATTCCTTGGGAGAAAGTAAAATTGGATGATTTGGAGGGCTTTGCTGAAGGTGGCATGATTGACCAGGAAACAGTAAATACGGGTACGGACAGTAACAATGATTGTGATAGTTAGAAAATGTGTTTATTTTGGTAACAGCAAATCCTTAGAAAGTTTATTGTTTGGGTAACGCATACTCTTTTTCAATTTACATAATTTTATTAGCTACTTTTTTATAACATCAGTGGCATTGTAGTCATGAAATCCAGATTGTCTTTGTAGATGAGTAACTGGTTGATTGTCACGACAATGAAGAATTAGTGACAAAGGGGAATTAATTTAAGCAAGCTACTAAAGGTTAGCATTTTTTAAAACAGTTATGAGTTTGCACACTCATTTCCAAGTATGTAAAATATTAATTTGTGTAGAAATTATGATCTGCTTATGATTGTGAAAAGTCTTCTATTCAGGGGTAAGACTTAAGTTGGAATTGGAACTTGTCCAAATAGGCTCAGCTTAGCTGAACCTTAAGGTATTTCCTCCATAAAGTCAGAGAGACAGGAAAGCAAGTAATGTCAGACCTTACTCTGAAACCTAGTTGAGAGGTTTGTTAGGTTTGTAAACGTTCACGAGTACTGTGTTTTCTTGAAATGGATCTAGCACCAAAGGAGTGGACTATGTTGAACTAAACACTAGATTAAGACTGTTTTATAATAGTGATGATAATTTGCAGGTCAAAATGCAGTCTTGCTTTGAGTAAAGATTAAATATAAATGGCAGAAAATTTAAAACACGGAACACTACTGAAATACATTCACTGTGTTATACTTGAAATACAAAACTTTTGGAGGAAGTGACGGAAGGAAGAAAAGGGTTTTGGGGTGAGGTTTTTTAGCATGAGGATTCTCTGTCTTGTAGTAGCCAGCTGATAACAGATACGTTGACAACAGCAATTTTTAGAAAACTGGAGCGTACTCTACATTGCAGATGACTAACAGAATCATTGGTGAAAAAGCTTGGCAAGGTTTGAAAAATGGGTTTGTATACAGGCATAATTAAACAGTATTGCAGGTGATTAAAGATATATTACATTCTTTAAAGTATGTAAACAATAAAATAAATATATAATAATGTATTAATTTTATATATATATATAAAAGACATAATTGCATTTTCTTCTTTTCATAATAAGCTTGGGGGTTATTTGTAATTAATCTATACAGATACCAGATGAAAATTTATTGTTTTAAGAGGACTTTTTAGTATTTAAACAAAAATAGCACATTCATTACCTCTTTATATTAAACATATACCTTTTTTTAAAGAATGGGAAACAGCCAGAAGCTCAGAAGCTGCTAAAGAAAATACTCAAACTACGCAGAGTGCTGCAGTTGAGAAGAGTACGGTTATTACAACACAGACAGAAGCTTACACACAACCAGTCACCATGCTACAGGTTTGTATTGGTCTGAGTTTGCAAAAACCCCACAGAACTGGAGGGCAAATGTTTTATTCAGTACAGATGAACTTTAGTGCTGAGTTCAGTATTTTTGGTTTAAGTACTTTAAGTCCTGAATCCAGGTGTGTTTATCTCTGAAATATTTTAGAGTAGTATCGGTTGCCATGGTTGAGCAAAATCTTTAGTTTCATGCACAACATATCCCAAACTTGTGTACAATCTCATGTGAAGGCTTAAATGTTGAAGACAGAGCAATGTAAACAAACAATAACAATAAAAAAACCCCTGGCACATTAGTTTTTTAAGGAGAAATCAAAATGAGCTTACAGGAAGTATTTTGCTTATAGAGGGAAAGCATCTGTCTGTAAGCTGAGCAAGGCAATAATCTTTTTTTACACTTGTGCTTGTGTCGTCTTTACCTATGTGCTTTTCCCCATGTCAGCTTTGAATAGAAGTTTATTTTCTCAGTAATTTTGGGCGACAGTCTCATCTTTAAAAGATCTGATTATTCAAGTAGTGTGCTGTTGCACTCTGCAGTAATCCATGAGAGTCTTTGATTCTGTGCTGTAATTTTTTTCCTTCTGCTAAAATAGAGGTTTTTTTATTAACATCCAATCAGTTAACAAGGTCTTGTAGAAGGCTAGAAGAATGCAATGTAATTTTTCTTGAGAACACTACACTACACATGTTTATCAAGTATAAATACAAATGGTTTTTGTCAAACCCTTTAAAATGTTATTATAATGACCATAGGAAATTGTAAAGTAAGAAGCAGTTCCTTAATACAAAATTTTTTGTATTCATGTTATTACTGTTTTATCTTTCCTAATGTGTGTAGACATTTCAGACACTTGAACTGAAGTAATGTTACTATGAAAGTTCACAGATTTGTATTTACTTGCATTGAATATTGAGCTTTTTTTCTTTTCACAAAAATTGTCTTCAGTCTTCTTATTTCAACTGGCTCCTAATGTACGCTGTGATCAGTATATATTTAAATATGCATATATATTGCTTTTAGTCTACTGCTAATTACTTGAATCATGCTGCAATGTAGCAAAACATGTAGCTCACAAAAAAGTTTGAGAAATACGAAGTAATTTTTAGGATTTCATCAGGATTATTAGCCTTATAATTACGTACACTAAACTCAACTTCCCAGTGCTGTTCTGAAATAATTAAATTTTTTTGATGAAAATAGAATCCCTGTTTTCTTGGTGCTCTCAAATTGCCACACTGTCTACGTTTTCATTCTTTTTTCCCCTCTCTTTTTCTGCATTCGCCTCTCCCATAGGTAAATTTTTATTCTTGAGTAAATACAGTGTTTAACCCTGTATTTTTGTGTTCTTTTTAGAATAAAGAAAAGGTAGCATAGGATTCTTCCAGTGTCCTTGTTTACTTGTAGTGTAGGTACCATTTCAGGATGCAATCTAATTCTTCAGGGTGTTCAGAATATAGACAAAGCCCTTGGCACATTTAGTGCTTAAAATGAATTGAAGTCGAATCAGTTTATCTGTCTTTTAATGTCATTGAATACTGTTAAGTACTGAAGTTGCTTGTTTTTTTCTTTCTATAAAACAAGATTCCAGTAGCTCCAGCTGTGCCTGCTGTTAGCTTGGTTCCACCTGCATTTCCTGTCACAATGTCTGTCCCTCCTCCTGGTTACAGCGCAATTCCTCCTCCACCCTTCTTGCGAGCGAGTTTCAACCCTTCACAGCCACCTCCAGGTAGGTTAGTAAAAATGAAGTTGAGCATGTAATGAGTATACTCAGTTTGTGTGCATCTATGTACATCATGCTTTGTATAGTTTTTCATCAGCTACTGGTTACTGTTTGAGTCAGTTTACCTTTGAATCTTGAATTTTAATCTAGTACGAAATTTCTTATGTCTAACTTACCAGTGTATTCTGTCGAGAATAGGAATTACAGCAGAATTTTTTTGAACTTTTGTAAAAATGAAAATTTAAAAAGCCATAAGATTAATCTCATCTCTGTAAAATTTTGAAACTCTTAATTTTCTTCCTTGGATATTGCTGGCAGAAATCACTCTTAAAGACACACGTACAGATATACAGTAAAGATGGGGTTGTTTTTGAAAACATTAACCACTGTTGCCTCTTCCCATACATTTGGTGTTTGCTAGCCTTTAGTGATGCAGCTTTTCAGGATGAATAATGTAGGCAAGCTTTTCCTGCAAAACTTTATTTGCTGTGCTTGTAATAACTTGTCATTTTTTTCCATATAGGTTATATGCCTCCCCCAGTTCCACCTGTAGTCCCACCACCTGTTGTCCCGCCACCTGTTGTCCCACCAGTTGTTCCAACACGTAAGTTTGATTCTTCTAGTAAATTATGTCAAATCAGTTATGCAAAGTTCAGTATTTGAACCTGTCTGGAACAGACGTATCTGTTACTTGAGCTATTTGGTGTTAGTCACTGAATAATTTATAATAATTGTTTTTGTTTAGCCTTTTAGCTATATTCATTTAACATTTAAAAATATCTGGTAAAGAGTACTAATTGCTTAGGTTGTCTGCAGTTCATGGTCTTTAAAAAAATAAATATTATAGTGCTGATTGAGGATATGAAATTATTATTAAAAAATGTAACAGGGTGACTAATTTCGCTTACTTAGATTTATTAGCCTGCCCTCTGCAAACTAATCTTGATGGCTTGAATATATAACTGTGATACAGTTGTGTCATTTCTTTACAGCTTTAGTACAGCCTCCATTACCAATTGCACAAGAAATGATGAAGGATGTTCCTTTTACTGGCCTTGTTCTACCAGTTGGCACAGTTACTAGTAATCTAGCTACTCCAACATTATCTGCTGGAAGCGTTTTTAATCCTCTGCCAATCAACAAACCAGAATCGGATGAAAAGGGATCACATCTTGCAGACCTTCAGATTTCATCTGGTGAAAACAATAGACCTGGTAAGAAATGTCTTTATTGTCTGATATGATTGCATACAGGAAATATTATACTTCCGAAGGTTTTTTTGCAGATCGTGGTCCCTTGCACTAATAACTGCAGAGTAGGAAGTTTTAGGCTGGGTATCATTATCAGTTTAAATTGGAGGAATGATAGGAACCATCTTTGTCGTCATCTGATCATTGATTTCTAGCGGCTTATGCTCAAGGATGTTTTCTTCATAGACTGGAGAAGTAAAGCTGAGACTGGGAGCCCTTTAGAAAAATTCTTAACCATGGGATTTGTGAATTTTAGGCTGCTGTACATTCTTTACTATGTAGAGACATTCATTTCTGTGGCATAATGTCTGTTTATCACCAGTGTGGTTTAAAATCATGTATGTTCATTACGGAAACTGAGACAGACCTTGTCAGCACTATCATCACTGAATGCATTAACTGAATATGGATTAAGCTGTGTTTTGTTTTTTATGCTATGTGTTACACTGGCATTTTCTGTTAACTGTTGTTCTTATTGCTGCGTTTTAGTGCAAAGTGATGTCTCGAGTAGCTCTGGACTTGTTGGAGGAGTGCAGCCACCCAGCGTCTCAAGCAGTTCTGGGCTTACTGGAGAAGGACAACCACCCAGTGTCTCAAGTAGCTCTGGACTTGCAGGAGGAGTACAGCCACCCAGTGTTTCAAGCAGCTCTGGACTTGTAGGAGGAGTGCAACCACCGACTGTTTCAAGCAGTTCTGGTCTTGCAGGAGGAGTGCAGCTACCTAGTGTCTCCAGTAGCTCTTCTCTTGCTGGTGGAGTTCAACCAACCAGCGTCTCAAGTAGTTCTGGACTTCTGGCTGGAGTGCAACCACCAAATGTCTCAAGTAGCTCGGGGCTTCTAGCTGGAGTGCATCCACCCAGTGTCTCAAGCAGCCCTGGCCTTCTGACAGGAATGCAGCCACCCAGTGTCTCAAGCAGCCCGGGCCTTTTGACAGGAATGCAGCCACCCAGTGTCTCAAGCAGCTCAGGAGTTCTGGCAGGAGTACAGCCACCGAGTGTCTCAAGCAACTCTGGGCTTCTCATAATGCCACCACCCAATGTTTCAAGTAGTTCTGGACTTATGGGAGTGCCACCACCAAATATTTCAAATAGTTCTGGACTTCTGGCAATGCAACATCCAGCTGGGGTTCAAAACATGCCTCATTTAAATATTAGTAGTCAAAGGA